AATGGTATGCGTAATACAGAGCAAGAATAGCATCGGCTCACTAGGTTGTAGGGTATCACTCTTATATACGCCCTCAGGTCGCCAAATGTGGTGATATGTGTTCTGTGCTGGTTTTTGGCACGATTGCATGTTCTGGTATGGTTTTGGGGGGCGATGTTTGTTTCTATGGCAACCCTTTTTACGTGGAAACTTGGATTTGACTGTAGTGGTTTTAGTTGCTGGTTGGTTCGTGCAGTTGGTGGTTTGAAATGGTTTATTATGCAATGAAAGATGTGTTAGCAAAATGTTAGTCGCGTGCCTGGTACAACTATTTTTTCGAGTGGCTGGAAATTCTACAAGATTTTGAACATTTATTTGTGAAAGATACTATTAATTTTGTGGATAGTGAGTCTGTCTGTCATATAAATACGATAGAGATTACGTGGCGGCATGTCAAAGTTACAATGCCTACTTTATGTTTTTCATCGTTGTTCTGAAACGGGAGAATATGCTTTCAACAACTTTGTAGTGAAGTCGTTTTGGTGATGTTTAAAATTGTTTTTCCTGCTGTTCGAAGAAGCATTCATTCATGGTAAGTGCATTTTATTTTATTCTTGTTCTTACTTTGTAGGATGTTATGTTCATTGTTTTTTTAGTATGAATTTCTGTCGTTATTGTGTTTTTTTGAATTAAAAAAAATTTTTTTTTAGTTTATTTTGTTGATTAGTGCACAATGCCTAGATTGTGCAATTCATAGATTTTTTTTAAAGTTTAAACAGAATGCTGTGTGCATAGTATTCTTTGAAATTTATTGTTGTGTTAATTTATTTAAGCGAGGTGTGCGTAGTTCATAGATTCCTTCGCTGCACAAATTGTGCAACTATTTTTTTTTTTTTTTTTTCCAAGTTAAAACAGATTGCTGTGTACATGGATTCTTGTCAAATATTTTTGGTTAGAAACCCAACGTCTTTGCTATCTGAATTTTTTGTTTCGGATTTTTAGCTTAATTTGTGTGTTCAAAACGTGGTTTGCGTTCTTGCAGACATTTTAAGTTCGAAATATAGACAAAAAAATTAGATATTAATATGGCAACTTGGAGTTCCTCGCCAAAATTATTTGGTGATAAATTTGTCGCCAAGCAAGGGCGTACATGAAAGTAGTTGCGGTTGTAGGACCACCTTGTACAGCGATACATGAAGCAACACGTCTAGGTACGAGACTAAGGCTGGTGTAATTTTCGGTTTTATTTTCAAATTATTTTTTGGTTTATTATTATCCAGTTCTTTGATTACACTGGGCTGCATTTCAAAAATAATTTTTTATGATTTAAATCTAATAGGTAATTCCATATATTTTTTCAGTGCTGATTATTTAAAAAATGGAACCCGAATTTCTGTATCAAGTCAAGATTTTTTGCAAATTGAGAGCTTTTATATTTTCACAAATACTTCTATTTTACCTCACATTAATGAATTTATTTTAGTAATAAAGTTATAAATAAATTGCACAATAACAAAATTATACACTGCCTGACATTGAAAATGCAACACCAAGAAGGAGAGGTCAAGTGATGAAATTTGGAAAAAAGACAAAGACAGCAAGCAGCAATAAGTGATCTTTATTTCAAAATAATAGTCAGAATACAGAGCGATAACGGCGTCGGCTCAGTAGGATGTAGGACCACCACGGACAGTGATGCATGAAGAAACATGTCTAGGCGTCAATAAGAGTGCGGATGGGTCCTGAGGGATGGTTCTCCATTCAACCATTTGCCACAGTTCGTCTTCTGAACGAGACAGGGGCAAAGTCTGCAAACGGCGTCCAATCACATCCCACACATGTTCGATTGGTGACAGGTCAGGAGAGTACGTTGGCAAGGGAAGCATCTGTATACCTTGCAGAGCACGTTGGCAGATGTGAGCAATGTATGGTTGATTGTGTGCTGTTGATAAAGGGTATTGGGCATTCCCTTGAGGTAGGGGAGTGTCGCCGACCTCAGAACATCATCCACCTATCATTAGGCCGTCATAGTGCCCTGAATACAAACTAGAGGTAACCTGTAATCGTACGCAGTTGCGGCCCAAACCATGATGCTGTGTTGCTGTGCGGCATTCTAAAATTGCTGCCGGATTGGACCTGTCTCCACATCAATGCTACACTTGTATGCAACAACTGTCAATCGAGAAACAGACGTTTGACTCATTTGAGAACACATCCCTGTGTCATTTCATCATCCACATTGTTTGAGCGTATCACCATTGCAGACGTTGGAATCTATGATGTGGGATCAATGGCAGTCTTCTTAACAGATGCCACAAGTGCAGGCCACTAGCCACCAAATGATGGCAAGTGGTTGTGGTTGATATAGGAACATCCAGAGTATCTTCAACATACTTTAGAAATGGTTCGCGGGTGAGCCATCGCTTGTTGGTGGAATGCGTCGATTCATGCAAGCTGGCGTCACCCTGGCTGCACTTGCACCCCTCAAGCTTGTCATATTTCCTTGTTCCAACCATTATCACCCCAGTCGGTGCACTGTGCACATGTGTAGTTGTGTGTCAGCCAGCTGAGATTTGCGGTATGGACCAACCTGCCCTTCTCAGTCCAACCACTATGCCCCTTGTAAAATCATATGTCTGCTGGAACTGCCCCCACGGACAATGGCCTGGCATTCTCTGCTATCACACGCGTCCTCTGAGACAAGAACAAATTTTCTAAGATTTCCCTAGCAGAAGTAATGGCATGAAAACTGAACATTCTCCAGGTTCCTTCCCTTATATCCTCTTCAACATGTGCTGGATAGCTGTGCATTTCATATCATTCATATAATATAGTGACATTTGTCTATCCTGGAATTTGCATAATTTTCAGGCAATTGCTTCTTGGTGTTGCATTTTCAATGTCGGTTAGTGTATTTCAAAGTTGGCAATACTTTCACTGATGACATATAACCCTGGATGGAGCTGAGGAACTTTTTGTTGTAAATTTTGTACAAAGATAGATGAATTTAATGCTGTTATATGTGTGAAATGGTAGTATTTTTCTGTGTAATGTTACTTGAAAAGCTGAGAGATATGATGCTCTGCCAGAAAAATAATAATACAGAACAAGTCTATTTAACATTGAGTTAATGGCTTTCTCGCTAATTTGACAAGATATTGCCAAGCTGAAATTTTGTAAGAAATCGGTGAAAGTCGCCAAACATGGTGACCATTTGGCAATAATTGGGTCCGATCCCTGTAGAACTGTGATGAGTATTGTAATTGAATAACTGTAATTTACCCTCAATATAGTTGTAACCATATTCATCCTTCCAGTAATTTCAAGAAGGAGAAAGTACTAGAAATATTTTATCAATCGGTAAAAACTGTATAAACCAGAAAGTGCATCGCTTGCTCAGTTGTAGTTGTAAGTTTAACATGAGTTCGGAATACTGAAATATCTCCAGGTTAGCTTTGCTCATTAGATACACTCTGCATTGCATTGCGTTGACATTCGTAGTAGCTTGGTAACTATTGAATGTACTCTGTGATACTATGAACAGTTGTACGAGTATTTCTGTGGAAAGTTCCAGAACTCTGATGTATTACGAGTGCTGATTTTTTTTATGTAAGAACCAAACTGTTCTAAGTTTTTGGGACAGTGCAAATGGTTAAATAAACATTAACAGCATACTCCCTACCACTACTTATTTCAGTTTAACTGAATTCATGTGGCGTTGATTGCAAGAGAAAATGCCAGTGTTTTCAGTAGTATTAAGTATAAAATATTTTGCAGTGTCAGGTTTGTTTCATGATAATCTAAAATTAATTTAGTATCTGAAATTAATTTAGTAATTTGAATTCTGTATTTATCTATTTTATTTATTGTGGATTTTGTAAAAAAATCATTTATTTCGTTAAGTTGTACATATAGTGTGGGCTGCTATCTAATTGAATTCACACCATGTATGTTTGGTACTAAGTGGCATTCTATTAACTGGAAATTGTATTATCTCAGTATTTTCTGCCTGCCACTGTTAGTTTTTTTATACTTCAAAAGGAGAATTTATATGTTTTAAATTGATAACTTTTGTAAAAGGAAGCAATTGTATTTTTACACCAAAACTTGATGAAAAGTATGAATGGTGAATAAAACATAATGATTTTTTTCTATATAAGAAATGCATGAATAAATGTGTTACTCAATTTTCACAAGAGAGGATTTTGTTGGTCTCCGTTGTTAAGATCCTGGTGAGTTAATACTGTTGCATGCGTACTTTTAAGGGAAACAGGTTTGTATACAGATTACACATAGGGAAGACCACAAAAATGACAGGATTTGAACCCCGAATGAACTACCAGTGTTCAGCAGATTTACTACTCAGCTGCTGTTGGGTCAAATGAGAGTATTTTTACATACATTTTCATATTTGCATAGACTTTACTAATTGATATTACAAACGTTCTCACAATTATCATTTTTGTTATTTATATTCAGAATATGACTTGTAGGAAACGTTCAGTGAGTGATAGAACATAAGCTGTTATGATATTTCAGATACTGGAATTGATTTGAAGATAGCAGTAGTGAAACAAATTATAACTTGGACCTATTTCCAGATAATAGTGAATCTGAAAATTATTCAGTAACCTTACAAAATGTTTGGATATCCCCAGTCACTATGAAATTCTTGTGTACTTACAAAAAGGGCAACTCTTTGCAAAAATTAAAGCATCTGAAGATTCATATGCAAATGAGTGAGCAAAATATTCAAATGAAGATACAATTGTATTCTATAAAGTAAATTGTAATTTAACCAAGATTTATTTTCAGAATTATTGTCTTTATATGATTACTCTTAAAACTGAATTTTATGAAAGCCTTCTTATGTACAGATTCTATATCAAATGTATGCTACACATTTAGATACATGTAGATATAAAATATGTAATAAAAAATTTGTAATTTTTTTTAAATAACTTCAATAAAAGAATTCAGCAGTCAGAGTGTTAATTTTTGCACTTTGTGTGTATTTTCAGGTAAAATGTTCCCTTCTAGAGGTGATCTACACATAGCACCATTTAGTGATGCTGCCTTGTATATGGAACAGCTAAATAAGGCTAATTTTTGGTATGTTTATTTTTTGTTAATCTAGTTCTAGAACTTGCATTTGTAATCAGATATGTAACTTACGTACATTTTTAATTAACTATTCTCAAAAATATTTTGTATTTTTATTTTTTAATTAGGTATCAGCAATCATTCCACGGCGTAGATCTTGCTAGTTTGCGCGATGCAGCTGTAAAAGAATATTTTAGACAACCTATTGTTGTAAGTATCTTTGTATGAAAATTCAGAATTTGCCCTTATCATGTTATGATAAGTACATCTTGTTTGAGGCATTTTGATTTTAATGTGTTAAAAAACATTTTAGGTACTTTTTTACTGCAATTCATATCATTGTAAATTTATTTCACTCTTCCTGATTTTTGTATTAGTGATACAAATCCTGATTGATTACTCTTGTAGGTTTTAAAAAACTGGTTTTCTTAAAATTGAGTTGGATTTTGCATGTGTCATATGTCCACCAATTCTCTGGTTTTTCAATGCATCTCCCGCTGTCCCAGTTTTTTATTTTTTGCCTTAACTAATTAAAGCGTTTTTCATGAATAAAATGAATTTGTGCCAAAAAAATTCACACAGTTTAAGTTTTTCTGTTGAATTAATGAAATTTAAATTCTGAAAATTTCATTCCACTGGCCTTAGTGATATTCAGTATAGTTTTTCTTATTTTATTTTTACCGTGTTTGATTTTTTTTTTTTTTTTTTAAATAAATTAAGTTTTTTTTCCCTACTCAAAATTTTTTGATATAAAGATATAAAAAATTTACAAAATGAAGTTAGCCAAAGAACTGAAATTTAGAATATGTAATTAAATCTTATTAAATTTTACATGAGAATCATTGTTATAAATTATTCAATAAACTGAATCATGGGTTAGAAAGGGAATTTACGTCTATTTTGATTTTTTTTTTTAATAGTGCTGTCGTACAGCACAAAAACTACCCCCTCCCCCCACTTTTTGGTGCTTCAAGGTTTGCAACTATGAAATTATTTGACCCAAGTAAGAGAATAATAATTTAACTGAAGTATGCAATTAATTGGCAAACTTTTTAAGATTATATCAATTTTTAAACTGTTTTTTGTGAAATAAATTTCTTATATCTTGTGGGAGAGCTTTTTAGAATGTGTAAATTTTAATTAGAGTATGTGTTAAAAATATATAAATGAATTTATTAAGATGCCAGATGAAATATCTCTGTGTAGAATATAGTTGGATAAGGCAAGTAATTTAGAGATAATGTTTCTATGATAAACCTAAATAAACATAATTCAAGGAGGATATTTGAAAATATGTTAATATTTTGAAAATTATCCTCTCGAAATTTCATCAGGTCTGATTTTAAAAGTTCGCAAGTCTGCATTTAATGGGTAGTGTGTGTTTTGGTATCTAATGTATAAAATTCTGAAGTTATAAAAAATATTTTAATTGAATATAGCAAAATGAAAGTAGTGGCTATGTTCAAGTATGTTTTCAAGAGCCTTTATAAAAAATTTTAATTATTATTTTTCAGTCTGATATTTGCTTTCAATTTTGCTAAAAAATATGTAATATATTAATGTTATTGAAAATCCAGATTTGGAATAGACTACAATTAAGGTGGTCGAAAAAAGCAGAATTCAGCAACTATGATTCAGAATGATAGAAGTCTAAGCTAAGATATATTTACTAATTGTTACATTTCAGAAGGAATGTCACATTAAATAGAGATTAGATTTTTAAAATTGTGCACATTGCTCTTCCCTCTTTTTTTCACTTAACAAAAGTGCAAAGTCAAGATTCGGAATTGTCGGGACTTTGGTATTTTCAGAAATCTCCATATTCTAAATCATCAATTTAAATCTAATAAAATGACATATAGATGCGACAAAATTGGGGCTTCACTTATTATTTATGCCAGATAGAAAAATGCTTACTCTCCATGACCCAGGACAAGAGCAAGTGCAACTGATGTAGCTGCATCAGGTGTTAATTTAGTGGCAGCAAATGTTGTGGAATTTAGGAAAGGCACTGGGCAAACTTTTAGAATTTAGGGGGATGTGGATCAGCTGAGATTGCACTAGGTCTCAAAATGCATTGTGCCTTCCCCACCGCCCCAAGAGCCGAAAATGTTATCCTCGCTAATATCAATGCAGTTTCAATTAGTGCATTGTTATTTGCCTCATTTCAACTCCCTAGCCAGCAGGTGTTTCAAAGTGACATACAGGAATGTTGGTTAGTCTGTAGAAAAATTGCATTTGGGCACACCTTTTGTTTGCTACAATATTCTCCATTCCCAGATTTTATAAGGAAGGTTATTATTTTCTTCTTGGCTGGTGGTCTGTAGATCCGGATATTGAATGTCTGACTTTGTACTGTACATTTTCTTTTATGTATTTTTTAAAAATGCATTAACATTTTCTGAAATTAAGAGAAAAGTGGTTGCAGGCATTGACTTCTAGTGCATTTAACCTGTCTTAATTTATTGGCGTAGATTAGCTGTCTTATTGCATTTTGTGCATTAATTTATTGTTGCATTTTTAGGTACTAATTTTGAATTTGTCATTTTCTTTGTATAGATTGATTATATTAAATGTGTTATTTTATTATCTTGGTAAAAAAAAAAAAAAAAAAAAAAAAAAAAAATTTAGTTTGAATTCTTAAATGCTAATCTTGTTTTATTATTTCAAAATACTTTTAAGTAATAAGTATAATTTAAGTATGTAAATTATTTCTGTAAGTGCTTTAAGCAATTTATTATTACTATTATTATTATTTTGGTTTCCCTTTATTTTATACTGTGGTCAGAATGAGAGGAAAATTTAAATTTTTAAGAATCCTGGCAAATTTGAAAGCTATTCATCTTTGCTGTCGGATACAGCTGGTGATGTCGAGGCAAATAAAAATAAAATATTAATTTTAATCATGATAAAACAATTTTTTTATCCTTTTTGTATTTCAGGAATATTTATTATTCTGAATATTTTGTTAAAAAAGTTTAATGTGTTCTTTTGAATAGAAGCATTTCAAGTAAGTGGGATGATGTAATATGTGTTAAGTTGGATGCAGTGTAATTAAGTGGGATGATGTAATGCATGTTAAGTAGGGCACAGTGTAATTAAATGACATGATGTTAATGTGAATTAGTAAAATTTCAGATCCTTTTTTCAATGTAAATTAAAAAATACTGACTATGGAGAGGCTTTATTTTGTGGTATTTCAGCAGTATCAGTCACACAGTCTCCCCTAAAATTTGGGATATATTTGGAGCAATTAAGAAATTTTTATTAATGATACATTTTTCCTTAATTTATATTTTAAAATGTTTTTATTGTAGGAATTCCAATAAAAAAATTTTTTTTTTAGGATACATTTGATATCAATATTTGTATGGCCAAATCATTGCGTTATACTGTAGACTTTCAAGTAGCTCAAGAAACCGATTTGCACAAAATAGATATTCCTCTGACATATACATTGAATCAGACTGGCGAAATTCACGGTTTAGCATTCTGGTTTGATGTTGCCTTTTTTGGTTCTACGTAAGTTAAAATATTTTTTTAATATGATGAGTTAATTACCTCTTATCATAGTGTAGTTTAAACTAAAAGTATTCATTTAGTTATCAGTTTTATTTTCTTCAGGATTGTAGTTTTTCCTTTCTTTCGTTAAATAATATTTATAGAACTGTTTCTATGAGCACGTTGTTAACCATGTATAAAATTGTTATGAAATATTCTTCTGTTGCTATGTATGGAATAAAAACAGAGTGACAAAGAGCCATAAACAATAATTCACTTTAGATAAATATAATAATGTTTATTTTTCCAGACATTCATTTAATTTTGTCCAAAAAAGATTTTAAAAATTACAAGAAAAGGACATTTTTTCTTTTATGTCAAAAACTAAAGAGAGCCATTAAAAAAGAGAAAAAGAAAGAAAAGAAAAAAACTTACCATATTTTAATGATAGCAGAATTTTTTAGTACTTTAGGATCTGCAAGCAAAAATGTGAATTTTTTACATTTGACTTTGATGAATATGATTTCTTGTTAAATTGCTTCTTTTTGCTCTTTTAGTTATCTGTGCTCTTTATAAAATTCAAAATATTGCAGTAAAAAAGTTTTACTGAATTTCGAAATCAATATTTTCCTTAATAACATATGAGAATATTTTAACAATTTTATAAGATGGTTAGCTAGCAGAAAGATTATTTATGTCGTTATTAGTTTAACTATTAATTTATGTGCCATTTAATGCTTCTATAATTTTACATTAGAAACCTCTCGTAAGTAACTGACATGTCTGAGGATATTGAAGTGTGTAACTTGTTCCAAAGCGAATTAGCGAAATTTATATGTATTACTGAATATTTCCCTCCATAATTCTTGGAAATCTGAATATGATAGCAGATAAACAAATGTTATTATGTAAATGCATCCTTTTTAATGTGAATAAAAAAAAAAAAAAAAAAATCAGTACGCTTTTCTAACAGAATAACCATCTGAATTCTACTCTGAGTATCTATTGATGGCTTTCTGTTAATCTGGTCAAATGAAAAGATTAACTATATTTTAGAAAATTTCAGTATATTTTCCCTTCTTTCAGAGAAAACTTGTCTGGTAGACATATTTCTAAAGAAAATAATCAAGTAAAAGTTGGGTTTTAAAACTAGAAGACACTTTTTTCCCTCCCTATTTGAGAAGGGAAATCAATCATTATTGTAATTCTAATATTAAACCTTTGCTACTCATTTCAAAAGTTTCTTTCGACTTTTAACTGGTTTTGATTAGCAATTTTTACACACACACACACCACACACAAAAAAAAAAAAAAAAAAAAAAAAAAAGATTTTACCTTGCAGATTAAGTATTAGCAGTTAGTAAGGCATGTTTTAGAAATTTTACTGAATTTAAATGTTCAGGATGTGAGCAAATAATAGAAGTTAATAAAATTCAATACAACATAATAGATTTGATCTATTCTGGCCTACTATGTCTGTCAGGCTAGATGCAGGTTTTTCATAATGCACCACATTTTTATTCATAAATTCTATCAATTTATATAACCTTTATGTGCCAGCTACATAAATTAAAATTACTGAATGAAATGAAAGTTTTGGTTTGTTAGCTTCTTTCTGGCTTTGAATTTACTATTTAATTACGCTTGCTTGGATGCAGGAGGGTACGACGAACCAACATGTTCGATCGCATCCACCTCAGTGCACGACTTCACGTGATGACAGGAACATTGTGCGCATTTCAGTGACGGATTGCTCAGTCACATCACGAACCATAGCACAGCACATTCAGTCTGTAATGTCATCGCAGTGTCTGCGTGTACCATTCGACGCCATTTACAGCAGAGTGGTCTGTCCACAAGACATCCACCATTGAAGCAGAACCACAGACGCTTCCGCCGCCAATGGTGCGATGAAAGAAGGATGTGGACGTCAGAATAGAATGAAATTATCTTTACTAATGAGTCATGCTTCTGTCTGCAACACCACGATGGTTGGATTCGAGTCTGGAGAGAAGATGCTGAACAGTTGCGTTATGCACCACCACACCGGTCCTGCACCTGGTACTATGGTATGGGGCGGTATTGGATATCATCCTCGCACTCCTCTAATATGCATTGCCGTTGCTTTAAACAGCCAGCACTATATCTCCGAGATGTTGGAGCCAGTTGTCATTCCTTACCTTCAGGGCTTGCCCACAGCCATATTTCAACAGGATAATGCGCGACCACACGTGACACGCATTGTCCAAAGGTTCTGCGTCATTCGCCAGATTTAGTTGCTTCCTTGGCCAGTTCGCTCTCCGGATCTTTCGCCGATAGAAAACATGTGGTCCATGGTTGCTGAACGATTGACCCAGATTACATCCCAAGCTGCCACACCAGATGAACACGTCCAATGCTGAGGCGTGTGGCAGTGGTGATCTCCAACAGTGGCAGCTACTCTGGCTACTGATTCTGGAAGGAACTGCACTTCACAGAAGTCTATAAATCTAATCATTTGGTACTTGGTCAACATGTTATCTACTAAGTAAATTTGTGATATCTCTTGTCTTTCTTGGTGTTGCAATTTGGGTGGCCAGCAGTGTAAATTTCTTAAAACAGAGGTATTGATTAAAGCAGTGGCTCTCAACCTTTACTCCCCCAAGTACCCCTTTCGCTGTTGCTTGATGATTATTCCCTTCCTTTTTTTTCATTTCTGTTCTTGAAAAATATGTGTACATTTGTTTAAATTAATTTTTTTAACTATATTTTATAAATTAAAGCAAAAGTATAAAAATATTGATACATACTAAAACTTGAATAAAAGTAGTTTTTATATTCATAAACTAAAATTAAATACTTAACAAGGAAATAAAAGGCTGATCGCATGCCGCCCTTAAACTATAATTTCCCCTCTTCGGTTGAGAACCCCTCGTTTAAAGCGAGTGTTCAGCAAAGCTGTGGAGTTGGTAGGCAAAATAACCGACTTCGACTCCCTCATATATATGTAAACATATACACATGGGTTATAGCTTATTTTTTTATATAAAAGAAGTAATAGATGCTATGGAAAAAATTGATGCATAGCAAAATTTTTATATTAATTAGCCTTTATTATGAAATGGAAGAAATGCCATTATTAATTTCTGAGAAACAGTATAACTTCGGCAAGATCTCCTTTGTTAGAGAACCATAGATCCGATTTGGTAAACTTCAGAACTAAGAAGAATCTTTCCACACTAACTTGAGTAGGAGGAAGAACTGTTACTGTTAGGGCTACTTCCTTTAACTTTTCAGGATAGATTTTTATAAGTTCTAAAAGTGGTGTCTTGCAAGAGCAATCATATTTCTCTATTTCTTCAGAGGCCGTATAAATTTTGTTTGTATTTTTTAATTTTTATATCTAACGGCTCTTGGTTCTGTATTTTCATTCGCTTTGCCTTAGCCTTCGCTTTGCCTGAAATTTTTTAACATAAAATCTGCTGTGGAGCGTCGCAAGATCGTGGGGGGATGTGTCTCCAGATACGTTAAAAAATACTTGGGGCATAATTTATGGCACGCTACCATATTTCATGGTGAGGATGATGAAGACGATAGCTGCGAAATTTGGAAGGTTTTCGGACATCACAAATCTAAAGGTGAAATTTTCCAGTTATTGGATTTTGTAGAAGAAATATGGGGAGAAGCGGTGAATAATGAAGATGGTATAACAGAAGTTTTTCATTGCAAGATGACAATGTCCCCAATCATTAATCAATTAATGGACGGCGAAATCTGTAGTATGGTTCTAGATCCAGAAAATACCGCTTCCGATAGTGAAGAAAGTGATAGAGAGGTTATTGAAAATGAAAAAATTTCAATTGACAAGTTAGTCGGTAATATCGACACAGCAGTTACAGGACTTGAACAGTGGAACTTTGTAACTGAAGAAGAAATTATGTCTGTTTATAGAATTAAAGAGAAAGTATTAGCACAAAAAAATGAGGCAACTTATATGACTTACATTGAAAGAAATGTATAATAAAGTAAACAAATAAATATTAAGCTCTTTTTTTTTTTTTTTTGGTGTGTGTGTGTGTGTAAATTTTGATACCTTTTAGATCATAATTGCTCTTTATTTCATAAATTATGGTTTCATATTTTTAATTGTGTAATTTCTGCATGCCGCCATCTTACCAGATTTAAATTGATGATCAGTAATCCGAGAAAACCTGAATCTGAAATCGCCGAAGTCCTGACGAGTCCAGATTACAGACTTTGTACTATATTGAACCCAGCTAGATCTTATTTTCCAGCAAACTAGTTTCTCTTTTCTTCATTGAAGAAATGATTCCTTTTGCAATAAAACCCTCCATTTCAGAAAGAACAAACATTACATTCTTCCATTCTCGCCTCCTGTTAATTCTTCCAGTGAAACATTAGGGTGAATGTTAGTGAAACATTGGGGTTATCTACATCTTCTAACATTTTCGCCTTCTGTTAATTCTTCAGATTGTAGCTTTTTTGTGGCTTTATACAGTGTTGAAAGAAGAGTTTCCAATTCTACAAGATCATTCCATAGTCTTTTTGTTAGTGAAACATTAAGATTATCTACATCTTCTGAAAAAGTTCTTAATTCTAACAACCACCATATCATCAAATATGTACTTCTCCATCGCATTGCTCAATCAATAATATCTCCTTTTCCTGCTTGCTTCCTAAGAATGGCATCATTTTTGGGAGTTCTTGCTGCTATTGCTGCTTACCTAAATTTACCAGTAAGATTTTTAAGTAAATGAATCTGTTTAATCAACAATAGCAAATATCATGTTTATCCTGCTCCATTATATTTATTTATTAATATGTCAGTAAAATAGAAAATGACTATTAATATATATAGTTCATAAATAAAAATATTAACTCAGTTTGTCTTTAATTTCATATATATATATATATTCACTTTAATTGCATTTCATATATATATATTCACTTTAATTGCATTTCAAATTCGAACTGTTTAACAAAAACTAGAGTCGGAGTCAACATGCTTTAAGCGACTCGAACTCCAATCCCACAGCTCTGGTGTTCAGAAAATGAACAACTTTAGAGCTGCAGTTTTAAACTGGCTGTAGTTTATGAAGGAAAGTGTATAAGTAAGTCACAAAGGCAATTGCAAAATAACCTAACAAGATACTCAACTGAAAACCATTTTTATTTCTCAACATGATCTTAATTACTTGCACACTTGTCCCATCATTTTATCAGTGCTCCAGTACCAGCTGCATAAAATTCTTTGGGTTGCAGTCTCAGCGACATTACTTCTTTATATTAAACTTTGTCATCATATGCAAAGTGTTTGCCTCCAAGATGTTCTTTTAGTGAACTAAACAGGTTGTATGAAGGCACGAACGTGAAAAATTTGCGTTGCCCTCACCGGGATTTGAACTCTGTACTTTCCGAATATGCTTTGGACAAGCTTTCAGTTACCACAAATGCATGCAGAAAGGAGAGAGAAAATACCTCATATACTTCCCCTTTTAAAGGGCATCTGGGGATTAGAAGACCCAATCACCAAATCCTGGTGCTGATGAATTATTGTCCTCCACCTTTTAGTTTGGATGCCATGTGTAGAGTCATTAGGTTATAACGATGCAGGAACATGAAAAATGTACAGTGCCCTCTCTGGGTTTCGAACTTTGGATCTCCCAAATACGAGCTTCCAGTTACACCTTGAAAATATGCAGAAAGGAGGGTGAAAATACCTTTTAAGGTACTGATATTGTAATTGTTATATTGTACAGTACATTTTTCGAATCATTTCCTTCACCGGTGTCCAGTCTGCCTGTATCAGAATGAGATGTCAACTTTTATTTCCTCTGCAAACTTTGGTGTGGCTTTGAGAAGAATTTCAACCCACTTGTGTGCAGTTTTATGCAACAAACACTTCTTTTCATAAACAGAAAACATTCCTTTATAAATACCACAAAATCCTGAATGTCACTTTCTTGTGCAGACAGCAAGTTTCATCAGCATTTTCAAACTGAATTATGCATGTGCAACTGGTACTTTAAGAAATCAATATCATGAATATGGTTCTGCCATCTATTAACATACAGAGTAAGTAATCAGTGCTATTTGCAAATTATACTTTTATCATGCCAATTTGTGACTTATTTAATAACTTTCCCCTGTATTTGATACATACCTCACTTTATCAATATATTTTAATTTTTACTCATTAATAATATGTTCATCATCTTAATGTCACTTAGGCAAACAGTTTGGCTCTCAACTGCACCTACTCAACCTTTAACACACTGGTATCAAGTGAGGTGCCTTCTCGAGACGCCATTATTTGCACAGCGAGGGCAAACTGTTTCCGGTAAAGTGGTCCTTAATTCAAATAAGAGGTAAAGTTTGTATTACATTTACGTATTTTCAGTAAATGTCTTTTTTTATTTGATGCTTATGTTAAGTTTCTTAATGTGAGAAAAATCTTCAACCATTCAGAAGTTAAAATTGTTTTTAAAATTATGCTTGTCAAGAAAACTTTCTTTAAAAATATGTTAAGAAACTTACAGAAGCTCAGAATTTTATTCATCATTTTAATAGTTTTAACTATTAAATTCATTAAGCATTCTCAAAGGCATTCAGTTTTTGTGAATTTTTAGAATATGTGTGGTAGAGTATATTTGTCATTCAGAATACAAATTAGAGTAAACCCTAAATGTCATTCTGTATATAAGTAGAGATTTTTTTTGAAGGGAGGGGGTAGTTATTTGCATGCTGTAACATATTCAGCCCTAGGAGAATTTAAAAGGAATAAAACTTATTGTTATTTTGGGTAATTTCCTTGTACAGAAAGAATTTTTTAAAAATTCATATACCACATTTCCTGGCTTATTCCAAGCATTTTAGTGCTAGGCTTTGGAAATTTCTAGAATATTCACATGATTTCATCTTCCTGTATTGTACATAGTTTTTCCATCTGAGGGCTGTTTTGTTGGAAAATTGTATTCCTTTGTTTATTTTTGTTCAATTGTATTCTTGTAGAACCATTGCTTTTAGAAAGAGCCTTAGGTTTCAGAGAGTGAGAAATCTGGCAGTTACGGTGGTTGTAGTATGTCAGAGATCTTTTAAGAGGACCCTATTTTTTCCCCCTGTAAATGTTATTGTTACTTTGCCAAATGATTTAAAAAAAGTTTTAATTCTGTTTGAACTATAAAGTGAACCACATCATCTTGGATCATATCACTTTATTCCTGAATAACGTGAACCATGCCATCACAAGTGATATCACTTCATTCATTTCTTACCTAAAGAATAAGCTAACTTTTTCTAATACCAAAGTTTGATTGTTAGAAGTTTTATGGTTTTAACTTTTTGAGTATAGGGATATATTGTTATGGCTCTTCCTTATCTTTATGCAGTTACTTCTCATATACAGTTCCTAGTTGCCAAATTTCTGCAGTTATTTTTGATATAATATCAAAACATTTTTTAATCCCAGACTTTCACCTTATGAATTATATACTGTAGTTTACTATAATACTGTAGTTTAACTATAATACTGTAGTTTCAAATTTATATTTTCTTGGCACATACTTTTCTTAATACAGAGCAAGAGATATAAGATTTATTTATTTCTGCTTATATTTAACTATGTTAATTACATAAAAAATTTAAAATTATCATTAATTTACTTCAAAAGTTTTGTCTATTCAAAACCTGTCTCATTATTTTTAAAATGATATAAATATAGATTTTTGGATCTTGGAAAATTCAGCTGTGGCTCTTGAACTTTATGAAATCTACCATATGGCTTTTGTCGTCATGAAGCCTGGCGACCCTTGATATATTGTTTCATTTTGTGGCCATTTTCACATATTCAAGTGCAAGGTGTCTCTTTCTTGCAAGAATGATATAGCATTCTTCCACAGTTGATTGAATAAAAAATTGTGAACATTTAAAAAAAGTTAACACACAACCTACTTATAGCTTTTCTTGCTACAAGCAAACTTGTAAAGTGATCATCATTAGGGACTTTTGGCAAGTTATTGCTGTTCTTGGTGGCATTTAAAAAACAAGAGTCATAAAAATAAGGAAATAACATTATTATTTATTAGAATAATGAAAATAAGCTGTTTCTGAACTAGGAAGAAATGAAATTTTAATGTTTGTGTTTTATTATGCATTTTAGAAGATAATTAAAAATGCAAATTTTTTTTCCTTGTAATGTAAGTTTCTCATAGTTTAAGTTTTAAAAGGTAATATTTGGCATTTTCTGAAAACATTATGCTTTTTTTATGTGTAGGGAGAAATGTTATGTATTGCACATACTACTCAGTATTGTTTTTAGTGATTCACATTAAGTTACTCAACATAAGTTGTGAATGTTTGGCAATTTTTTTACTACTGATATTTGGGGGGTCAGCTTATATGTGAAAAACGTTTGCAAATAATTTAATACCAAAAATGTTATTATAGGTTAAATAATTGATTTTTTAAAATTTAGTCATATATATTAATTAAATTTTTTAATATAAATTAAAATAACCTACTTACAGCTTTTCTTGCTACAAGCAAACTTGTTAAGTGATCATCATTAGGGACTTTTGGCAAGTTATTGCTGTTCTTGGTGGCATTTAAAAAATAAGAGTCATATAAAGCTGTAAGTAGGTTATAATTTCCTTAAAATCTTTTCTTGAAGCAACTCTGAATGAATGTTATCATCCCTTATTTCACCAATAATATGATTATAATGTTCCTCATTGATATTATCATCTTCAGTCCTATCACTAGAAGAATACACTGTCCTTTTTTGTGCAGGTATTTAAAAAAATACATACATTATTTGTAAAAATGAGAGTACAACTGTTGAGGATGACTACTTGAAAATGGTTACATAATTGAGAACCACTGTGAAACTTGCTATGGCAATGTTGAAGTGCCAAGTAATGTACATACATTCCCAGAAGTTGGAAGAATTGTGAAAGAGAAACTATTGGCACCAAAAGTGTACTCTAAAATATTGTTGGAAGCTGAAGATGCATTGCCATACTTATTTTCAGCAGCTAAGTTAGATGCTCAGTTATTGGTATTTTTGATTATATATGTTTGTGGATTTTTAAGATGAGTTTAAATTTGGCTTATATATAAGTTTTAAATATTGGTGTAATTTTGGGAGCAAATTTCACTTTTTGCCTTATACACAAGGTAAACCCTAAATGCAGTTCACCTGACTGCTAAGTTTCACGACTGATTAAGAATTGGATTCCCTAGCTCTTTGATCCATATTTGTATACTGTAGTATAAGCTCTGAAAATTTCCGGAAGAATTAGTTGTAGGGCATGGAAAATGTATTTTGGGGAATCTTCTTGAAAACGAGTTCATGAGGAATCACCAAGGCCCATCAGTGATGAACATGCTTCTATCTTGCATTCTGCTTGAGCTATTATAACTATTCAAATGCTATTGTGCTTAGAACCGAAAATCTCAATTTTGTATGACAAACATAAATAAGCACTTAAATATAAGCAAGTGTCCACAAATTTGATTAAACACAAACTGAACTCTTTAAAACTCTCATTTCAGAGGCAGAAAATAAACAAATAACTGTAAGCAAAACAACATACACCAATATAATCAAAAAAGATTAAAATATTTGGAGGCCTGTTGCTGAAAGCTATTTTCCTAAAACCACTGTGCTATGGCAGTCATATATTGTAGCTCACAATAGTTTATTGCTCCTATCATAACTAAAGTTTAAAAAAAAAAAATTAAAAAAATTAAAAATGCCCAAAGAAAAAAAAAAAATGTTTAATAAAGTACAATGTCTGAGATCCAGACGTAAAGTCACTGAACACTGGTAGTTCGGTACGAGGTTCAAATCCCGCGAACGGGCTGGCTGCATGGTCGTTCTCGTGGTTTTCCCCATGTGTAATGTGTATACGAGCCAGTTTCCCTTAGAAAGTCCTCCAAGAGGGCATTCTTACCCTTAGGCAGATAGCCCTCTAGGCTTTCCCATAATCACACACACACACACACACACTGAGATCCAGACATCGAATATCTGAACCTTAAAGTCAGCAACAAACAAATTTTTTTAGGAATTTTTTTTTATGCTTTGCACATGCACATTTGATTTTTTCCCCATAAGAAAACGGGGAGAATCCCAATTTTTAATTTCACTTCTGCACTAAATAAAATACCTCATTATTGAAGCAACAATCATTTTAGAATAAATTTGTGTGATCAATAACTTGGCTCCATAGCGGCATATCTCTGCTTGGCATACATCTCAAACCGAAATATCTTACATAGAAACATCGTTGATTTTACAACTACTAATGTTTTATATCCCTGACGCCAACCTGCCGAATCATTTATTTTGCTTTCATCACCGTATGTTTATCAACACATTAAACTTGAGTAATGTCTCGTGCAACAATGTGTACAATTTTTTTTTGTGTGTGTGTGTGTATTCGTAATTGAATAGTAAAGACTATGGACACCTTTTACGTTGCCATTATGCTTGGCAATAATTACAGATTTAAGTTAAGTGTGCTAAATGTTACGAGGAAAAATTAAACAAAATTTCCTTCCACATGCTAAAAATAGATTTTGTTAATAATTCTCATAGGCCAAAAGATTACATTTAGTGCTATTTGAATTAAGAATAAATGAATTCTTATTCACATAAAACCAGAACCGACGCCAGAGCTCATATGACTGCAATGTGTGGCAGAATTTAGTGAAGACAAAATTTTTGCAGTTTAGAGAAGCACCATGTAACAAAATTTAGGGATAGCACTGGAATAAAAAATTAAGGGGTGGTAAAAATTTAGAACTTAGGGGGGTGCTTGGTTGTGGAATTTAGGACCCACAAACTGCATCAGGCAGCAAAATATCTAGCGCCGGCCCTCAGTAAGCTTAAGCCATTCAGGACCAGCGTCGCATATACGAGAAGAGCTTCGATCAATCTCTACAGCCCAGCACAATTTATTTGAATTTTCAAATGCCAGTAGATGGTGCTAAATTGTAATGATTTTCACATCAGTTAAGTCATGTGGCTTTTTGACTTTCATTTATGAGCATCAGTTTCTTTTAGGTGCTTCTGGTTTTGATAGATTTATTGGTGTAAACAAACTGGGAATCGCAGCTCTTTAAGTTAAAGGGACACCGGCGTGTTTGTCTTTATTCTTTGCGTTTTTCGTTATTAAAATGCTGAATTTTTTTTTTTTTTTTTTTTTTTTTTTTTTTTTTTTTTTTTTTTTTTTTGGTAAAAGTAGACTTAACTGCTGAAAATGCGTCAGCCGGTGGTGGCATTCCATTTCAGGGGGTTCTGTCCCGTGGCTGCACTTCGTTCTCCCCGCGCTGGTCCAAGCATGTGCAAAAATCAGACACAAGT